GAAGTCATTTCAGTGCGAATGAATAAAAACTCTGCTACTCTGTTGTGTGATCTGCAGCTATCCAGCAGAGGGGCCGTCAGCTACACTGCTCTTTGTTGCGACGATGTTTCCATTGTACACTGCTGTTTTCTAACGCGGAAATCATCACTGTTGTTTCTTTTATTAAGTCAATTCAGATTAATATTGCGATTTAAAGGAGCACTATGTTAACTTTATGACATTAAACAACTCTACCTTACATTTATTAGATTACAGGTGGTTTTATAGCTCAAAAATACCTAAAAACAGGTGCTCTGACTTGTAACTTGGTCAGGTTTGGTCTCCATGATGATATGAATGGTTAATGCCATACTGTGAATGATCCACAGGGTTAATAGATTATCACTATATAGTAGACACAAGCACTATAGGTCTCCTTTTAAATGCAGATCAATCCATAATATAAGTCATCTTAGCATTTATCTATTTGAACCTGTCACAGCTGATTTGTGTGCTCAGCTTGGTGTGATTAAAGCGTCACTCGGTACGAAGCATGCGTTTGTGTATTTAAGAGTGTGTTTAAACGCCCTTTTGAGCCAGTCTGTCACCACTCTCAGGGAGACAGTGCTTCTGACTTTGCCCCATTCATAAAAAACACCTTAAATGTAGTAAACAGACCTTTTCCTGTTTACTCTTCTGTCCGATCGGGAGCCCCTCAGTACGAGACCTCAGTAGTGTCTAGAATGGCTGTTTATTTGCTCAAGTTTCTTTACGGTGGATAACTCGATGCACATGCACGTTTTCTTTCACTTATGTCATAAAATCAAGGCAGTTGTGGGCCTGTTGATGATTACTATACCACCTCATTGTTCAGTCTGTGTTAGATGGAACAATTTTTTGGACATTTTTGGAGTCAGTATTTATCATGAGTATGTTTTCTTACTTTTCTGGTGGAGGGTCCATCAGCTGCTTTTCTCCACAGAGATGTTATTGTGTTGTCTGGAATGTTTCGCAGTATGGCATTAAACCTTTTTATCTTCATTGAGACCAAACCAGACTAAGTTACAGGTCAGTTCAGGCAACTTCGCTCAAATGTCAGAATGTTTTTCTAGGTATTTATGAGCTATAAAACCATCTGTAATTGAATAAATGTAAGACAGAGCTGATTAATGTCATACTGTGGAACATTCCAGGCAGAGCAATGACATATTCTTACATAGTGCACCTTTAAAAAAAAGTATATATAAATATTTTCTGGGGGGTGGGGGGCACTAGCTTGATTCATCAGCCAGTTTTACTTCGTTTCACTTCATACAAACTGTCTGACCTCACAGCCTTAGATTTTGTTTGCTCGACAGTAGACGGGTAGTTTTTTTCATTTAACCAATAGCTGCTATTTGGTCGTGACGTATTTAATGTGCCACTAACAGGGCTAACTGGTATATTAAGCTTTCCCAAATCCCATAGGAAGAAGGGCAATAATGTCTTTCCCCTTGATGAAATTCACCAAACATTCTCTTTGTTCCGGCTTTAAATCCTCAATCTCAGGAATCGTTGACAACACTGAATATATCACACTTCGCTGATTGGCTGATGCCCGAACTTTTACTTCCGGGGTTTTTGAGAACAGTCTAGTGTATTCCGATTCCTGACCTAGTCACTGGAGAGAAATGAAATTGAGCGGAAGCACTAGGTGGCGCCAGTCTGACTACCACAGTATAGCATTAAACTTAACAATGTTGCATTTATTCAATTACAAGTGTGTTTATTGCTCAAAAATACCTTGAAAACATGCTTTCTTACTGTCAGTAGGGAAACCTTGTCACAGATAACTAGTAAATCCTCAATCTCAGGAATCGTTGACAACACTGAATACATGGCTCTTTGCTGATTGGCTGGTGCCCGAACTTGCACTTCCGGGGTTTTTGCGAACCGTCTCTTGTATTTTGATTCCTGACCTAGTCACTGGGGAGAAATGAAATTGAGCAGAGGTACGAGGTGGCACCAACCGGGCTAGGGGGGCACAGCTTTAAAGTGAAAACCATTTCAGGAGAGCAAAAGCTAATTTGAATATAAAATATAAAAAGTATTTTGTTGAGTTATTTAAAGGTGCAATGTGTAACTTTTTGGGAAGGAGTCTGTCACCTGCTTGTTTCTCTGAATATGAATATTTAATTGCTCTGCTTGAAATGTTCCACAGTATGACATTAACCACCTCTACTTTTATTCAATTACAGGTGGTTTTATAGCTCAAAAATACTTATAAAAACTGCCATTCTGACTGTGATCGGGGTTGCCTCTCCACAGATCTGACCTGTAACTTGGTTTGGGTTGGTTTCCATGATGATATAAAAATTTTATACCACACTGTGAAACATTCCAGATGAAGTAATAATATCTCATGAAGAAAAGCATTTGATGGGCCCTCTACTAGTTACTCAGTGCACCTTTAACTCTTTTTTTGCTTCTTAATTCCACATATTTGAAGTCTTCTGTATGTGTTTAAAAAGTAGAAAGTGATGAACATAAAGGAAAAAATAAGCAGGTGTGTCCAAACTTTTGACTAGTAGTGTAGATCACTTCAAAATCTGTTATCGTGACAGACCTGTTCAGATGCACGTATTCATAGATGCCTGTGCAGAGCCTGGTGTCTGTCTGTCTGTCTGGACTTGTCTCTGGCCTTGTGCAGACCTCGTGCTCTAATTGGGCTGTGGAAAAAAAAAATTGCAACATTCTAAAAATTCTTTGATTTCCCCAGACAGGTGGTTATTAATCAGTTCACAGCACAGCACAGAACTTCCTGCTGATTGATTATTTTCCATATCGAATTCCAAGAAGAGTAATTTTCCTTATTAAAGAAATGTGTGTAGTTACTTAATGCTTTTTCTGTTTTTAGACTTACAGAGACTTATTTATATTATTTGGTTCTTTTTTTTTCAGACCAGAAGTTTGTTTTCATACCTGACAGCTTCGACTGCTCACTAGCGGTCAAGTGGTCACGTGATGTTGCTGTGACGTTTCCGGTCAGCTGATTAAATATAAACCGGGACAAGGGGGATTTTTTACTCTCACACACCTGGGATACTGTCCTGAGGAAGTCGGACTGCAGATGGCGCTGTCGTTCTGCCTCCACCGGTAAGAAGACGGCGCCAAAACCTGTACAAATCAGCTGAGCGGAAACGTCACAGCAACATCACGTGACCCCTCTGAGGAAGACCGCGAGTGTCAGTCGAAACTGTCAGGTATGAAAACAAACTCAAGGACTGAAAAAAGAAACTAATATATTATAATAAATTATCAGAAGACCAAATAAACCTCCTTGTACTATAGAGACTTATTTAGTTTTCTGTTGTTATTGTGTTATCATTTCTTTTAAAGGTTCTATATTGCACAAAATTTTCACTTGTGACCCTTAAAGACATGTTATAATGCTGTTAGCACCTCAAAAACATACTCTGAGTTGTGTTTTGTTTCATTCTCACGTTTGAGTAATGCTTTATTATTAGTCTGTCTACATCTCCAAAGCTCAAAATGCTCTGTTCCACCTTGTGATGTCACGAAACAGTAGTTTTCAAGTTAACAGCTCCTTTTACCTTTTGTTCAGTAGAGTTTGGCAGTTCTAGGGCTGACATTGTTCAAATGATTTTAGCGAATTTGTATGTGTGAGTTTAAAAACAGATTGAGCACTTCTTGTATTACCACATGACATGACAAGGTGGAACAGACTGTTTCCTATTTGGGAGAAGATCTCAGCCTAAATATGCAGGGTTTGTCTGTTAAAATTATGAATAAATCTTCAGGTATTTTTGTGATGAGGAAACGACATAACATTGCTCAGAAAATGGCGTAATACGGGAACTTTGACATTTTTTATTTGACCAAAAACATTGACAACAACGCACTTTGCAGCCCTGAATTGCAGATGTTTTTTCCTTGGCAATATAAAAGCTTTTTAGATAAAAAAAAATAAAAAATCAGATATTGCATTGATTTTTATTTCGCATTTGCTTTGAAACATAATACTTTAAAGGGCTTCTGTCCAATTTCTCTTTTATTTTACTTAAATAACTTCTTCAACCATATCCCCATGTCTTAATTCTCTTTAAACACATTGTCCTAGTAGAGAATTGTCACTTTGCATCTCTGTTAAACGGCCCAGGCCATTGTATTCCGTAACTCTAGCAGACACCAGAACACCTGCCAAAAAATGGTCTGTGAAATAGAACAGAATTTTAACTGGGTTTGGAGCTGTCTGTTGTCTTTGTTAGAGCAGATTTTCCGCTGAAGACCTTTATCTTTGTGACCACAAGCTCATCCACAGGCTTTAGTTGAACCCACATTTGCAGAGATGAGTAAACTGTTAAAAGCATATACTTCACTGCTTTTTGGGAGGGAATTTTCAGTTTATAAGTACATACATAGTTTTTATTTTTAACTCAACTTACCACAACTTTCTGTATTTTTGTTCTTTTCTTACCACAATCTGCCTCTTAACCGATGTACAGAAATTAAGGATGTGCCTTATTTAGCAAAAGTATTGACAATGCCATACTGAATGACGAAATAATATTGCAACGAACTGCAGTAACATCAAGATTTTCCAAGTTTTTCAAGCTATGTTTTATCTTTAGTTCAGTAGAGATGGGAAATTTCATGTCTTAAATTAGTGTTTTCTATTTGAGAGAAGAGCTCAAGTAGAAAACCCAAGAAGTTAAACATGTGTGAGTGAAACAAAACACAACTCCATGTGTGTTTATAATGAGGAAACATTTAACATTTAACAGCTCAGAAAATAATGCAATAATGGCACATTAAATTAAAGCGTTTAGTTTTATTAGAACTGAAATTAAATAAAAAAAAATCACATTATCACAGTTGTGAACAGCCATATCGGTGAATTTTCCAATAATGTGCATCTGGACGATCTGCTGAGGTCCATGACGGTCTGAGTCCAACTCTCCTGAGGCTTGAAGATGATGTTACTGTGGTCTTGACTGTGATACCTGTGATGGCTCTTTCAGATGGTGATGGAGAGTGGAGACTGGCTGGTGGGCGGAGATCTGCAGGTTCTGGACAGAATCCGCTGGAATGATGGACTGGATCAGTACAGACTGACACCCAACGAACTCAAACACAAGTTTAAAGAGATGAACGCAGGTATGGGACAAAATGGAGGGCTCTTTGGTAATGTCGGATTGTCACACGAGGCAAAATGGATTTGTACTGGAGTGTGTGGACGTAATGGAAGAGTGAGACTCTGTAGTTTGAATGTAAATGGATTCACACAGGGACAGGGAGCTGCTGGTTTCCATATGAAAAAAGGTTCAGTTCATCAGAGAAGGATATAAGATATCAGACACTCACTTTGTCAGAAAACACCCAGAAGTAGTCAGTTTTATATTTGGATTTAGGATACGATACACAATAAGAGAAAAAGATGCTATATTCAGTAACTGTTCTGTAATAACAATATAGCTGCCATATTTGAATATACGTTTTGGCTCAATATGTTAAGTTAAAACAAAAAATCCACATGCCTCCATTTATTAGTCAAACTAGGTCAAACCTTAAAACTAGTCTGTCTTTTTGAACATTTTACTTTCCAAAAACAGTACTTTTGTCAAATGGAAAACATTGTGTTGTTGCAATAAATTTATTTTTTGGGATACTGATATTACGAAATAATCATATTTACTAACCTGCTCGGGTTTTGCAGAAAGGAACAAGCTCTGACTAAATCTGGTCTGAAGCATCTCTGCTTTCATCAGAGTAATGTGTTTACACATGGTCCTTGTTAAACAAACTATTAAACTGAACTTCTAACAGCCGTGACTTGAGCGAGTTCTATTCAACACCATGACTAAAGAGAGAGAGACAGAAGAGAGAACATGTTCACTACTCTGAAAATGTGATGGCTCCATAAGCAACATTCCTGCTTTGGGGCTTTTGCTACTCCAGGGCCCAGGTTTCTGTCTGTGCAGCTTTAATAACTTTGTGTAGATTTATTTTCTTCAGTTTAAATATTAGATGGGGACCACTCACTAAAATGTTAAAAATAGCTTTAAAGGGAAGGATGCATGGAGCCAGGATGTAGCACAAGTGCTAATTTTCACCTGTAGTTCACGGGCAGACGGATGTTACTGGACTGGATCTGGCAGCTCTCACAAATGCCCCTTCTCACCCTCCACACGGACTATTTGATACAAAACCTCTCACCACAAGAACAGTTTCTTCCCCGCTGCCATTGAATTCATGAACTCTCTGTTTCACCTGTCACTTTATAACACCTGTCACTTTATTAATCCTGTCACCTATAACACCAGTTGCTGACACTTTAAACAGCTGTACTTGACCTCCTTGCACTACGTTGCATCATAGCAAGTTCCTCAAGCAAGTTCCTGGTTTATGAATTTTGCCCACTGACAATGGCAATAAACTGATTCTTTTTAGTTATTTTTTTTAGTGATTTTGATGATTTTACCCACTCATTTCTCTCTCTGCACAGATGCTGTATTTGCCTTCCAGCTGCGTAACCCGGTCCACAACGGCCATGCCCTCCTGATGCAGGACACCCACAAGCGTCTGATCGAGCGCGGTTACAGGCGACCGGTGCTGCTGCTCCACCCTCTGGGCGGCTGGACCAAAGACGACGATGTGCCCCTGCCCTGGCGCATGAAGCAGCATGCGGCCGTGCTGGACGAGGGGGTGCTTAATCCTGAGACCACGATCGTCGCCATCTTCCCCTCGCCCATGATGTACGCCGGACCAACTGAGGTACATTTACATGAATAAGTGTTGTGCAGCTGGGCACAAAGCCTGCAGTCTGACTATTTACCATATTCCAGAAGTTGCCATGGGCGCCACCGTCATTCGGGTTGTATTATTTTGTGTGGGGCTGCCGATCTTGATAGCAAATAAGTTCCATACGGACTACAAAGCCAGTTTAAAACCTCCCAGTGAATCGGTGCAGTGTTGACTTGTTGGTGCACATAAACACTGAACATTTTACACAGATACTTTCTATACCTTCTTTCTTATTGTAGCAGTGAAACTTTTCTCAAATTCTCACTTGAAATGAATGAGAATCCTCTTAACTAGAAGTGTCACCACAAAGATAACATTTGGTACCAGCATTATTCCATGAATCTAAACTAATTATATTAAAGCCCAAATGGTAACTGTACATGACCAAACAACAGGTTTAGTAGAGTTAAAGACCCTTAATTACCGCTTGCGGGTGTATCTGGCTTGACAGATGCAAGCTGTTAGTGGTGACCTGGTGTCTTTCAGTGTTCTGTGGCAGTTTGGTTTGGCGCAGTTTTCCCGTTTTAGCGTTTAAATTACTTAATCTGTGTTAATTTGTGGATGATAAATCATTTGTTTTGATTAAATGGTCAACATTGACAGCCCTAAAATGTAACGTCTTGAAACTAATTATTTCACATTGATTTCAGTATAGTATTTCATTTAACAGATTGCGAAAACAGACACAACATATTAATGATTTTGGGTTTGCTCCAGGTTCAGTGGCATTGCAGGTCTCGAATGGTCGCTGGTGCCAACTTCTACATCGTGGGCCGTGACCCTGCCGGTATGCCCCACCCAGAGACCGGAAAAGACCTGTACGAGCCCAGCCACGGGGCCAAAGTGCTGACCATGGCCCCGGGGCTCATCACCCTCGAGATCGTACCCTTCAAGGTCGCCGCCTACAACAAAGTCAAAAGAGCCATGGACTTCTATGATCCAAAAAAGTAAGACATCCTGTTGTGCAAGTAAACCCTGTGAAATGGCAGCAGCTGGTTCTAGTTCATTTTTTTGTAAAAGTTGTTCAAGCAGCTCTGATCTGTAACCTCATTCAACTGTAAGTTTTTACAGTTGGTTGAGCTGCAAGTTCACTATGGACCAGTTAAGGCAGCACATGATGTTACGAATGTTACGAAACTGATAAAAAGGTCTGTAAAGGGCTCCATCTTCTTTCCATGATTGAATTTATCATTATGGAGAGGGCAGCACAAATCTCCAGACCTTTAATCCCATAGAGGATCTCTGGGGTGACATTAGAAATGCTCTTTTAGAAATAATTTATAAATTGTGTTCCAGTCTGTAATGATGCCAAACACTAGAGGACTCCAGGCACTGCAGATGTGAAGTCTTCTCACAAACATCTTAATACAACTGAAAGAGTTCATTGACACACAAAGTGATTTAAATGAATCTGTTTTTCAGTAAAAAATAAATAAAATAAAGCTGGCTGGTCAAAACAGTTAAAATTAATGAATTAGTTAAAGGGCCTACTATATTGTGCTATGTTCTGATCTATTATAATATTGATAATATAAACAGACCTGGAGTTGTGTTTTGTTTCATTCACACATGTTTAACACACACATCCTGTATATTTAGGTTGCGTTTTTCTCTCACACAGAAAACACTCTGTTCCACCTTGTGATGTCATGTGGTAATACAAGAGGTGCTCCACTGTGTTTTTAAACTCTGTAAACCTTCATTAGAATCATTTGGATAATTTTATCCCTGGAATTGTCCATCCCAACTGAACAAAATTAAAAGGCACAGTAGCTGTTGAACTGAACTTGAAAACTACATCACGTCAGAGCTCTGCAGATAATAAAGGATTACTTAAACAAGTGTATATGAAACAAAACACAACTCCAGATATGTTTTTTAATGAGGTAACAACATTATAACATGGATTAAAGCTCACAAGTGTCAAATTTCTGTAACATGGGACCTTTTAAATTGTCCAATGACAGGCTCTAACTCTAACTTTGCTTAGTTAAACTTGGGTGGCTACTTTTGTTTTTCTTCCAAACTTGACAAAAGTTCATTGGAACGCATTCAATGAAAGCATTTGTCTGAAAACCTGACAGCTTTATATGTTGGAGTGACGAGGAATTATCAGCCTCTTCAAAGTCAGGTCAATTTGTCCCAGGCGCCAGGACAAAAGCTCCACTCCAAACTCTCATTAAGATCGCCCTGTTCCCTTTCATCCCTTCTCAGAGCTCCTTCTCTCTGTCTGCACGACCGTCCAGGCCAAAGATAACAGCCATCGTTGCTTAATCCTCAACAGTTAAAAGCTCCGCGGGCTTTGAAGTCAGTCAGAAATGAGAGAGAGCTGCCATTAATTAGACTGTGTATATGAGAAGAGCGTATAATGACGACTAACTCAAATCAGACTGTATCACTGGCTCACTGGATTTGACAAAAACCCTTCTTTCTTATTATTATACAGCTTCAACCGAGCTTTTGTTTAGATTGCACTGCCCACACTGAATTTCCTTGTTTTCTATAATGAGTATTTCCTGGACAAATGTGGATACGGTAATTGAATACGGTATTGTTAAAACGGACGGAATTTTGGGCTTATATTGATTGCTGGTCGAGAAGGGGATTCGATATCTAGTCAACATAAAGCACAATCATATTGAAAACAGATCTATGCAAAAAGTGAGCCGCAAACTTGGAATAAATTCAGTGACGAAATACTGTTCTTTTCGATTGATGGTTTATTGACTTTTGGCATTAAGTTTGCAAGGAGATACATTTTTGTTTGTTTATCAAGACTGTAAGAAACACCTTTTTAAAAAGTTTTTTCTACCTTTCACCTTAGAGTAAAGTTGATTTTGCCTTAAAAGTTCTATATTACACAAAATTGACTCTTGTGAGGGTTGTTACGTCATCAAAAACATGCCTGGAGTTGTGTTGTGTTTCATTCACACGTGTTTGAGTAATCCTTTATTATGTCTGTCTACGTCTCCAAAGCTCAAATGCTCTGTTCCCCCTTGTGATGTCATGTAGTGGTAGTTTTCAAGCGGTACTTTTTACCTTTTGTTCAGTAGAGATGGGCAATTCCAGGGCTGAAATCATCAAAAATGATTCGAGTGAAGGTGTACGGAGCACTTCCTGCGTTAAGACGTGACAGCACAAGTTGGAAGTTTTCTGTTTGAGAGAAAAACTATGCACGGTTTTATGTGTTAAACGTGTGAATGAAACAAAACACAACACTAAGTATATGTGATGAGGAAATAACGTTATAACAGATCAGAAAATAGCATATAATGGCTCTTTAAATATCTTTTTAGACTTTCTGGCTGGCCAAAACCACACACTTTGTCAATACTTTACAAAGACGTGTGGGTCTGGAGCCGTATCCTCTCTCCCCACTTTCAGACGGGCGAGACTGACAGGCAGATTTACTGGTAAAATGGTGAACGGTTCCATTTTTAGAGCGCTTTTCCACTTTCAAGGCACTCAAAGCTCTTTACATCAAGGAACCACTCACCCATTTACACGCACATTCATACACTAACATACGCAGACACTGGGACCAAAAAGGGGTTAGATGTCTTGCCCAGGGACACAACGACGACTCATCTGTGGGAGCTGGAATCGCACCTCCACCCCGTGGGACAGTGGATCTGACCGCACAACCAGTGATGTTTATGTTGGATCAGAGAGTAAACATATCGCCCCATTAACCAGAGGGAGAAACACATGGTTTGTTTGTGTCACAACAAACACTGCGGCGCTGAGTAAAGAAGAAGGGTAAAGAAAAATATAATAGAGGACTTAGAAACAGTAAAAGAAGTCTGCAGAATCAGCCAGGAAAACACCTTATGTATCCGAGGTCAAAGAAGTTAAACATGTTTTCTACTTTTGAGAAACAAGTGCAACTTTACTCAACTCTTTTTGTTGCCAGGTTCATTACTTCACTTACTTCATCAGTCTAAAATGTGCTGCCCGTAAACTATTTCACAATTTAAAGCAGACCTATAATGCAAAATTGACTCTTTTTTTGCGCTTTTAATCATGTTATAGTTGTTTCTCCTCACCATTCACTCTCTCGAAGTTGTATTTTGAGTGATTCGTGCATGTTTTGAGCACTTTTTAATCGCTTATTTTCAAGACACCACATTGCGCAGTTTCACCACCACTGTCCTACGCCAACTAGAAATGAGACAATAAACAATAATGTCATTTATATAATCGTCAACAAAGATAATCGTCATTTTATCACCAGAATATGCTGAAAAAAGCTACTTATCCCTGATGTTTTCTTCTAGATTAATGTTGTTTTCACTCATGACAAAGTACAGTTCTTTAAAAGTTGTTATATGGAACTTATTTATAATGTTAAAAGTGTAATTAATCACATCTGTAACATGTTTAAACTGTCAAAAACAACTTTAATAATTATGGTGATATAATCGGTAATTGCAATTATTTTAACCATGACAATTGTGACACCAAATTTCAATATTGTACCAAGCCTAAAGCCAGCTGTTCTGTACTTACTTCGTTCTCCAATTTTATTTTCTTAATCAGTTATACACGTCTTCTACTTTTGAGAGAAAATTGCTATAAAAGAATGAGATCTTCGCACATCACTTACTTGAGATGGGTGCGTTGGAGGAGAAGGGGCAGCCCAAGAACATAGAGAAAAATCCCGCCCGTCGTCTTACTTGCAAACTGTGAGATTTATTAGGACTTACACTGTATGTTGATTGTCTTTGCGTTTTGAATTATGTTGTTTTGGGTACACTGTTCCTTTACGACGTGTCAGCTCTGTTCTTGCCACACCCTGTTTAAGAAGTAAAACCAGGTCTAAACCAGGTCTAAGCCAGGTCTAAGCCAGGTCTAAACCAGGACTAAAATCACGACTAAACCAGGAGTAAAATCAGGTCTAAACCAGGACTAAAATCAGCACTAAAATCAGGACTAAACCAGAACTAAACCAGGACTAAACCAGAACTAAATCAGGACTGAAATCAGGACTGAAATCAGGACTGAAATCAGGACTGAAACCAGGACTGAAACCAGGACTAAAACCAGGATTAAAACCAGGTCTAAACCAGGTTTAAATCAGGATTAAACCAAAATTAAAACCAGGACTAAAACCAGGTCTAAACCAGGTCTAAATCAGGATTAAACCAGGACTAAACCAAAATTAAAACCAGGACTAAACCAGGACTAAACAGGACTAAAACCAGCACTGAACCAGCACTGAACCAGCACTAAACCAGGACTAAACCAGGACTAAACTAAAATTAAAATCAGGAGTAAACCTAGGACTAAACCCAGGACTAAACCATGTCTAAACCAGGACTAAATCAGGATTAAACCAGGACTAAACCAAGACTAAACCAGGAGTAAACCAGGACTGACCCCAGGACTAAACCAGGATTAAACCAAAATTAAAATCAGGACTAAAATCAGGACTAAAATCAAAACTAAACCATGACTAAACCAAAATTTAAATCAGGACTAAAACCAGGTCTAAACCAGGTCTAAACCAGGTCTAAACCAGGTCTAAACCAGGTCTAAACCAGGTCTAAACCAGGTCTAAAAGGATTTAACCAGGTCTTAACCAGGATTTAACCCGGAACCCCTGTCATAATAAATCTCATATTTTACAAGTAAGATGGTGTGCGGGATTTTTCTCCATATTCTTGAGAGACAATTACTAAATTAGCCGCTATGATTGGCACGTCCCCAGTGAAGATGGTTGATGTCACTCTCTCTGATCCGATTCCAGACTTTTCTGACTCCAAACAGAAATGAGGAGGGAGCGTCTGGTCAGGCGAAGGAAAAACACCCTTTAAAGAGTTAATTGTGAAAGGCCGACCTCACGACACTGCTGACGTGAACTGTTTGTTTATTTGTAGCAATAAAAGATCAAAAAATCAATTGTAATCACGACTGTTTTATTGCAGCCATCAAGATTATGACTTCATCTCTGGCACTCGAATGCGTCGCATGGCCCGGGCAGGGGAGAACCCACCAGACGGCTTCATGGCACCGAAAGCCTGGGCCGTCCTCAAGGAGTACTACCAATCTCTGGAGAAGAAAGCCTGAACCGATCACGTGTGGATTCTGCTCAAACCATAAATGTGGGACCATCAACATGTCACACTCATTTAACTCTCCAGCCTCAAGTCTTTTCATAGTTACACTGTCGGACTGTGCGATAAATTATTTTCACTGTACAACACTTTAGGGCACCAGTAGGCTTCGTCACAAGTAGATGTTCTTATTTTCAGACTAACGTTACTGATATTATGACGGCGTGCTTACTTAAAGTGCATTGTGTAACTTTTCCGATGGAGTCCGTCAAATATTTTTCTCCGTGGAGGTGTCACTGCTTTGTCTGGAATCCAAGCCAGTCCACTTTATTTATATATATAATACATTTCACAAACAAACAACAAAACAAATGATCAAATAAATGCTCAGATTTAGTCTTAAAATAATAAAACTAGTAAAATAAAATCATAAATAAAATAAGAGCAAAATCATAGAATAGCAATAAATAAATAAAGCCATTAAAAATACATAAAAAATAAATACATACATTAAAAATAAATACGTACAAAAATAAATACATTAAAAATAAATAAAATAAAAAAACACAGTGGACCACACAACTCAAGCAGTGTTAAAAGCCAGAAAGTAAAAGTGGGTTTTAAGACGAGACTTATAACGCTCCAGTTTGGGCTGTTCAGATGTGGAGGAGCAGAGTGAGAAGGTCCTGTCCCTCCTGGTTTAAGTCTCGTCTTAGGCACCGTGAGCTGGAGCTGACCCTCGGACCTCAGAGCGTGTGCGGGGGTGTAAATCTGGATGAGGTCCGAGACGCAACGTGGGGCCAGTCCATTCAAAGCTTTAAAAACAAACAATAAAATGGCATTAAACCTTTCTGTCTTCACGTAGACCAAACTAGACCAAGTTAGATCTGTGGGAAGAGTCAGAATATATGTTTTTGTAGGTATTTTTTGAGCAATGACATGCAACCGGGTGACGGAGCCCCAACCAGAAAGTTACACAGTGCACCTTCACACATAAACTACTGATTACTGTTACTGATTTGTATAAGAAGTACTGTTGAGCAGTACAAAACAGGAAATGGATATTTGTATTCGTGATGTTACTAGTCAAAAGTTACTGCACCCATTTGAGCCACTGAGTCCAGAAAGTTGCTTTAAATTGTAGATTTGCCGATGTATTTGATGTAAATGTTGAGTGCCTTGGTCCTGTGCACAATGAAATATCTTGCTTAAAGGTGAACGACATAACTTCAAAGGTGGAGGGTCCGCTACTTGTTTGTCTCCATGGAGATGTGATTTTGTTTTTTTGTGCATGGAGTGGTCCACAGTAGGGTATTAAACACATTTACTTTGCCCAATTACGTTCATTTGGTCCTCCGATAATTTATCTTATTAGGTTCTTTTTTTCAGACCAAGAATTTGTTTTCATACCTGACAGTTTCGTCTGCTCACTAGCGGTCTTCCTCAGAGTGGTCACGTCCGCTCAGCTGATTTCTACAGGTTTTGGCGCTGTCTTCCCACCAGTGGAGCAGGACGACAGCGCCATCTGCAGTCCGACTTCCTCAGGACAGTATCCCAGGTGTGTGAGAGTAAAAAAGCCCCCTCGTCCCGGTTTATCTTCGTATGGGCAGGTTTCCGTATTTCGATTGCCTCTTTAATCCAGCAACGATGTTTGACTCTTGGTCTGGAAAAAGAACCTCATAACACATCTATCTTGCATTTATTCAATTATGTTTAGGCATTTAATAGCTCAAAAATACTTTAAAACACATGAATTCTTACTATTTGGAGGCTTGCTTCTTCATTAATCTGACCATAAACTTGCTTCCATCGTGATAACCAAGTTTATTTCCATACTGTGAAATAATCAACACCTCCGTGGAAACAAGCAGGCGGCGGACCCTCCTCCTGAAAATTTACACCTTTAAATTGGAACGAGCACATGATTCGGCGTCCTGTCACTCTGAACCACGAAGAAGCTGCCTACACGAGACGAGAACACCAATGAAACTAAAGAAAGCTACTCAAAATATGAAGCTTTTAGTGTTGTGATATATTTATTCAGTCCTTTTTAACTGCCCTGTGCTTGTAGTTTTAGTGTGACCTCATATTTTGTTACGGTTCTGTTCTTTGCTGCAAATGTTTTCCATATTGTAATTAATTTTTAAGACTTGGCCTGTCTATTCAGATGATTAAAACAAGGGATCAGATTTATAATATTACTTGTCCAATAAACTGTTTTTAGCAAAATATGTTTGTTTACTCGTGACCGCTATAGTATCCAGGTTCATTACTTCACTTGTATAGCTCATTACTGTAAAATGTACAATCCTTTAAGTATTTCACAATTTAAAGCAGACCTGTAATGCAAAATGGACTTTTCAGAGCTTATAGCCATGTTATAGTTGTTTCCCCTCATTTACCCTCTCGAAGTCATATTTGGAGTGATTCGTGCATGTTTGAGTGATCTTTAATTGCATATTTTCAAGACGCAATTTTGCAGCTCAATTCCCATTTTCATAGGGTTCCCACGGTCATGGAAAACCTGTAAAAGTCATGGAACGTGAAAATGTCATTTCCCAGGCCTGGAAAAGTCTTGGAATTTTCGGGCCTGGTTACAAGAGATAAAAATGGTAAAAATGACAAAATATTTTATCAGAAGTGCCTTTTGTTTAGACAGTGACGCTGTTTTTGGGGCTTAAAAACGCAAAAATCTGAAACCACCCTCCAGAGTGGAAAAGTTGAATACGCTCCACCGTAGTGTTTCCGTCTACACTGCCCAAGACGCAAAACTCTGGTCAGATCTGCTCTCATTGCGTACGCCTTTACGTCACATACATCACCACCTAGAATCACCACCGAGCCGCCTGACATACATACTCAATCGAATTCTACACACTTTTGCGTCCCAGTATGCATGCAGATTTCCTCCCAAAAACGCTTGTCTAAATGCGGAATAAAAGGTGAAGACGCAACGCCACTTTTGAGTCTTCTGTTCAGACCGTCATCATATAAACGTAGCCTTAGTATCTCTTTCACACAACTACATCGCTCTGTTAAGTTCTCATTAGGCTATTTTGATTATTTACAAACGTAATCGCCTTTTGTGAAAAATCCCTCAGTCGTCCAAGTAGAATCTATGACAAGGAGAAAAATCAGTTTGTCGACTGGACAAAAGTTAGTTTGGTTGAATATTTTAACTTCTTGGGTTCTTTTTAAAGACAATGCAGTAAAGTGTGTTTACCTTGTTGACATGTTTCGGCTGCTCGCTGCAAGCCATCTTCAGAACTGAGCAGCCGAAACATGTCAACAAGGTAAACACACTTTACTGCATTGTCTTTAAAAAGAACCCTAGAAGTTAAAGTATATAAGAAGACAAAATGAATATCTTTTGCTTTGGTTGAATATGTTTCACAGCTCATCCAAGCTGCTTCTTCAGTTCTGGTCCACCTACATTCTGAGCAGAACTGAAGAAGCAGCTTGGGTGAAACATGCGAAACATCTTTAACCAAACTAACTTTTGTCAAGTCGAGAAACAGATTTTTCTCCTCGCCACGTAATCGCCTTTTGTTTAAAAGAGACGACAATAAATGCACTGACTATTTTGAATGTTAAAAAACTATAATACCAAACCATAAGGAAAGTGGAGAGGGTTAACATTTCATAATTAGCCCTAAATGTCTGATCAATTCTACACATGTAGGTGCTGTAAAGTCATGGAAAATTCACTTTAGGTCATGAAAAAGTCATGGAAAAGTTTTGATATTTTGTCAGTGGAAAAGTGGGAACCCTGAATACTGGTACACGCCCACTGCACTGCACTTACTACTCCAATATTATTTTCTTAATCATTTATATATATATATACATAGGATTCGTCAGAGAAAGTGGAAAAAAAAAAAAAAAATCCACTTCTCGCTAGCGTGATTTTCATCCATCCATCAGAAGTGCTGACTCTTTGTTTTGATGTTTACGGCGATGTCAGCTCCCACCGGGCACCGCATTTTTCCTCATTTCCCTATTTTATTTTAAAGTAGTTTTAAATGAATATTGCGATTTAAAATGTGGAAAATAATGTGCACGCAATGATTAAAGCGTGGCATAGATTAAAGCTATATAACAGACACAAGTACAATAGGTCTTTATAATAAAATATTTGGACACTGAATTCAGCAAAACTATGTCAGTGCTTTGCTGTGAGATTTTAAGGAGTAAAAACAGCTGTAATTGATATTTGTAATGCCATACTGTGCAACATTTCAGGTGAATCAATACCATTTTAAAGGAGCAAAGTCAAGCCCCATAGTGTAGCTTTAACTCCGAAATGAAATCACGTTTAAAGGCTATTGTCTTGTTTTCATTACGCCTCTTTGATATTGTCTGCCGTCTTTTGGGACTCCACATTTGAAGTGAATAAGTTGAGCAGAGAAGGAGACAAACCCTTAGTGACCCCAATCAGGCAGAGACACTCACATCTGTACGCCAGATGCCCCGCCACAGACAGAAGGACGCACAGGGTTAAACAGCTCACCACTCATCACTGCATCGTCACCTGTTTTATTCATGTTAACACTTCGGTTGAGACATTTTACATCAGTGAGAGAAACGGACCACAAAACCCACAAAATTCATTCGGGTAATATTCCAGTGATGAGTTGCCAGTACGTTTTAAATAAATTTTTGAATGGGCAAAACATGGTACAAAAAAATAAAAAGTAACTCCTGTTCCTCTGTTTTTGTGCTTAAAAATATTTAATTTCAGACAAAAAAGAGACTATTAAACACTGAAAGAGTTAAAGGTGCATTGTATAACTTTTCTGAGGCTCCACCATTTGCACATCGCCATGGTGATGCTATTGCTTTGCCCGGGATGTTCCACAGCATGGCATTAAACAAATATATCTTGTGTTCATTCATTTACGGGCATTTTTATCTCTCAAAACTACAACAAAAATGACATTAACAACCAGAGTGGGTCTACTTTTCCACAGTTCTGACCTGTAATTTCGCCTGTTGGTCCTTGGCCCTTGTCTCCATGGAGACAGTTAAATTAAATGCCATTTTACAACATTCGAGGACAAAAAAAAGCAACATTTATATGACCTGTAAAGCGTCTTTGAGTGTCTAGAAAAGCGCTATATAAATTGAAACATTATTATTATTACTCAAGCAGGTTTAGGACCCTGTACCAGAAAAGTTACACAGTGCAGCTTTAATATAGAGATGGTTTCAACGGTTTCATCTGGACGCTGTTTTTACAATCAAAACATTTTGGCTCCATCCATTTTCACTTTGATGGAACTGGCCCGAGGCGCTGGTCCTTCTCCTAACCTGAGTTAAATTCAGCCAAAAGGGAGGAAGGAATTTTTGAGTGAAACTGACCTGCCGTTGTTTACCCACACTGATACTAGAAACATCATTAGCGTTGAATAACACTGGATGATTCACAATGAAGTTAGAGACATCATTACGGCTCATTAGGAAGTAAACAACAGGTCAGAAAACGGCCTCTGGGTGGGAGCCGAAAAGTCTGTCGCAAAAACAGTGTCCAGATGACCGACACTGAAACTAAACTCCTGGACAAATGAAGGAATGCACCGTCTCATTGATTTCTCAAGATTTTAAGATTCATTGTGTCTGAGAGGGGTTGTTAAAATTGCAAACACAAATTTGACAACAATAACACGACTTTTTGATTGTTTGATTCTGTTTAAGACTATATAGAACTATGGAAAACTAAAGACTGTTTTTGTATTCTTTTACTTTAAAACACTTTAAGGACATTTGCATTTTCATGTTAAAGTAACTGTGTTGACAGAATTAAATTATATATATATAAAAAAAAAATGTCATGATAAGGTAACGTAAGATAAATATGCGCATTCAGCATGATTTGGTCACATTTCATCAACATGAAAAAGTTACATTCATCCATTTATTTTCGTCTGCTTACCCGGAGCCGGGTCACGGGGGCAGAGTCTAAGCAGGGATTCCCACACTTCAACTTCTTGGGTTCTTTTTAAAGTATATAAGAAGACTAAATGAACATCTTTGGCTTACTCCCAGACTTCCTTCACCCCAGACACTTCCTCCAGCTCTTCCAGGGGGACCCCGATGTGTTACCAGGCCAGCCCAGAGACATAGTTCCAGAACACCTCCTCAAGGAGGCGCCCAGGAAGCATCCAGAACAGATGCCTGAGCCACCTCAGCTGTCTCCTCTTGATGTGGAGGAGCAGCGGCTCTACTCTGAGCTCCTCCCTTGTGACTGAGTTCCTCACCCTATCTCTAAAGGAGTGCCCAACCACCCTGAGGAGGAAACTCATTTCGACCACTTGTATCCACAATCTCATCCTTTCGGTCATTACCCGAAGCTCATGACCATAGGTGAGGGGAGGAATGTAGACTGACCGGTCGAGAGCTTTGCCTTTCGGCTCAGCTCCCTCTTCACCACAACGGTCTGATACAGCAACCGATGCTGCACCGATCTGTCTGTCAATCTCACGCTCCATCCTCTCCTCACTCATGAACAAGACCCCGAGATACTTGAACTCCTCCACTTGAGGCAGGGACTCTCCATCCACCCGGAGAGGGCAAGACACCTTTTTCCGGTCAAGAACCATGGCCTCGGATTTGGTGGAGCTGATCTTCATCCCAGCCGCTTTGCACTCGGCTGCAAACTGCCCCAGTTGGTCCTGCAGTTACATTCATGTTCTAAGAAAATTAAGTGCAGAGGGGATTGAATAAGTTTCAAAGCCTAAACATTATTTTATTGCATGGAACTGCTTTCCATATTTCTTTTATGCAAATCCAGCTACCTTTTTTCAATGTACTTTCAAAATCCATCCATTAACTGACACATGCAGGTGTTTTTTCATGATTATATTTCTTTTGCGCATAAAACACGCACCAAAAATCAGAGCTAATTATTGGGTTATCTGATTATACTAGTAATCTGACATGTTTGTTGACGATTACACAAGAACAGACTGACTTCAAAGCTGCTTTTATATTGTGCAATGCTAACATAACATAAACACATTCACGTCACACAAACATAAAGAAGATTTATTTCGGAAATTTGGGGAAAACCTTGTAGTAGGCCCAAAAATGTTGAAAATGTTGACGCATCAGTCTCACACGCAGCTAGAGAGCAATTTGTTCCACTTTCCAGTAGAATGAAACAATATAATCTTGATCACATCGGACCTGTCAATCATAAATAATGTGCCAGGGTTCACGCAGAGGTTACT